CTATAAATCTGATTAAGATGAAATTTTGGATGTATATACTTAACATTGTTGTGCATCATATAAAAACATAGAAAAATAATTGTTAATAAATTAAAATGACTAAATTATCCCCATCAGTTTTCAGGGATATTTTGGTCATTTTATATTTTAGAAAATATTTTTTTTTATTTTTTAATTGTGCACCCTATTTTTTAGTACACGTCTAAAATTTTGTTATGATCCAACTTCTAAAAAAAATATTAAAATTTATATAATTCTGAACTACATGATGAAGTTCTGACGGCTGAGATTCCACCTATATCATTATAGCTGTCTAGTTATTGTTAGCTTTTCCCATATATATATATATATATATATATTTTGCTCTCTAAAACAAACGAGAGTGGCTTACTATGAATGGGACTTCAGGCGATCCTGCTGGTGCAAGGGGAAAGCTTGGTAGTGGCTATGGTTACGGAGTTGGCATTCGCATTGATTCACCATTGGGTTCTCTGCGCCTCGAGTATGCCTTCAATGATAGGCATGCTAAAAGGTTCCATTTTGGAGTTGGGCTTCGCAATTAACTAATTTCTCTCTCCAAAAGTGGGAAAAATTTTGGATAGGTTCAAGGGCTTTTCTTTCTTGATGCTTATGCTTGATTTGCATGTCCTCCCCACCTTAAGGAGGTTTTGTTTAGGGGTTTTGTCCATCCATTTTCGTCATCTTAGTCTCTCTCTCTCTCTTGTTTTATTGGTTGAGTTCCATTGGAGAAGGTTTCAGTGTTGCTTCATGTTCCTTGCTGTGGCAACTAAGGCGGCCTTAAAATGGGTTTGGGCATGCGTAAAATAGCCCAAGGTATTTATGGGGGCAAAGTTTTTATTTATTTATTAATATGGGCTTCAGTTAGTTTATCTTGTATGTTCGTCCCCTTTGATGCCCGAGCTGCACATACAATAGAATTCACAGATAAATTATAATGCAGGAGCTCCTTGCTGGTTTTAACTCAGTTTTCCTTGTATTTTTCTTAATTCTTTTATACATCCATTAAGAAACTTGGAATTCAATGATGATGATGATGTGTCAAGAAACTCATAATTCAAATTTTTTGTAACTGAAAATGCTGTTGTTCTGAACTCTGAGGTGGAATCCGACGATTTAGATTGAGGAAATACATTTCTTTTGAATACATGTTCTGTTTCCGTCCTTATGAGTAATGTTATATGAGCTGATTACTAGTAAGGGTACGATTAGTACGTGTGAAAATAAAATACTTAATGTGAAAGTATTTTCAAGGAGATTTGAATATTCTTCTGAAAATCTTTGATGACACTTGGGGTTCTTGATTGGTGGTTGAAGGTCGAAGGAGATTTTATGATCTTCTGTAAAGCTTTGATGACACTTGAGGTTCTTGCTTGGTGGTTGAAGGAGATGAGGTCGAAGGAGATTTTAAGAATATTATTTCGTGAGATTTTAAGATCTTTTTATCAAAGCTTTGATGACACTGGGGGTTCTTGCACGGCGGTTGAAGGAGATTTTAAGATCTTCATCAAAGCTTTGATGACAACTTAACTTGGGGTCTTTGTTGAAAGAGATTTTAAGAATGTTATTTCATGGGCTTCGGGTTGGAAGAGGTACCAAGCCCATTAATTGAAGCCTCAAAACCTCAACTACCTCCATAAGCCTCAAAACTCAAGTACTTAACATCAGCGTCCATTAAAGTCCACTTAACACGTGGCCTGCATGACGTACGTGGACCATGAATTAAAGCCTTATCGATGAATTAAAGCCTCAACGACTTTCCGTAATGTCCATAAAAGCCCACCGAACACGTGGCCAGCAACACAAATTCCTTAACATTCAAAGTTCTTTTCTTGCGACATCCTTTCGATCGGATACAATTCTTTAATACATTTGCATTCTAATAAATGGGCGCCTCATGGGGTGTACGTGTGGCAATTAAATTATACTATAAAAAAAAATTTATTTAAAATAATAATTGGTTGCTCAACATTTCTATTTTTCATCAAAAAAATTTAAATTTATTTACCTAAAAAAAATATAAAAACTCTATTAGGATATTATCTTATGGAATTATGTCATTACATGATTAATAATTAATTAACTAATCGGGATTGAAAAGTTAGTATTAGCTCATAAGATGTTAAAAAAATCAAAAAATAATACTAATATTAATTTATTGGATATTAAAAAAATATTAGATTAGAGGATATTTTAAGAGAAAAAAATAACACTAACTCATACCACTTTATAATTTATTTCAAATTCCTTTATCAATTATCACACATTGCAATATAAATTTTTTTAATTTATTAATAACTAAATCTTGTATTTTATTTATTAATTTATTTATGTTATAAATTTTGTAATATATTATTTTTTCTTATAATTGTAAATAATATTTTTTAAATTAAATAATATTATAAAAAACTTTTCAAGTTTATTCTTATTTGTATAGTAAAATCATGATAAAATAATAAAACACAAACTAATAATTCTAATTTCAATGTATAATATTATGTTTAGTTAATTTTTAATAAATGTTTGATGAGAATATTCATACAGGAAAGAATATCTCAATATTCGTATATTGATGTAAAAAAATGAAAGTTATTAATGTAGTACCCTCATTTCTTATTGGATATTTTAAAAACAATATTTATAATGATTTTTAATAAATTTTTTGAATTTTTTAAAAATCTAATCCAACCCATTCGGCCGTTTACCGATTCACCGATCCGTTTTTTAAACCACTCCTCTATACCATTAATTTTAATATAGTTAACTCTTCTAGAAAAAAAAAAAAAAACTCGAGAATGAGAGTTATTTCACATCAATTGGTTGCTATTCGGCGTGAAAAAACTCAAATCTAATCACATAGTGGGAGTTTTTTTACATGAAAATATTTTCAGTTTTACTCGTGCCTTTGCACAATAGTTTTGATGTGCTTATTTTGTGTATATGTTAGCTATGGCTCTCTGTTTGTGTTTTGTCTCGAGTTTTTATTTTGTTAAGGTCATCAGTGTCCTTAAGTGCTGTTTGGTACTGTTTCATTTCTTACTTTTTCCAAATTTCCTTTTTTTACTGTGTTTTAATGATTTCTTGTGCTTCATGGCTAGGAAAGGTTCCATATGCTTCCTCCAGCAACCAATGGCATAAAGCAGCAGCCTTCACAAAATCACCATTGAATCACATAAGAAGCAAACCTTGTTAAAGTTTCTATCCTTTTGTTACCTATTTATAACTGTATTGCCTAACCCAGATAATCTGGCTTAACCAGCCAAGCCTATATGATTCAGGGATTGAGGCCCTTTGAGTGAAGAACCAATGCAGATTCTTAGGAATAATCCGGTTGTTCCCTATTTCGAATCCGATTCCCGTCTGTTGGCTTTCCTGTTTTTATCTACTTATTTTCTCCTCAATTGATCCCCTAAATCCTGAAATTCCAAGATCGATTTTGACAAAACAGCTGCTACGGTGGGCTTCACCTCATGTAGGATGGAGCTACCCCAAATTGGTAATGCTCCTCTAAGCATTAGTTCGGTTCTTTTAAGGCATAAAAGACCTATATCAGATGTGATATCCTCTTTTTGGCATTGGTGTCTGTTTCTTAGTACCCTAGTATGACTGATAACCCCCCACGGGCAGAGAAGTAACGGACCTCGAGTTCGATTCAAATGCTGTCAATCTTTTCCTCGTCCAACATTGGTTGTCCTTCCTCCATGACCACATGCTCTCAATCATCGCCTTGTTCTTCCATTGAACCAGGTACTGTCAATGAATTAGTTGGGTTGGATTGTGTGCTTGCATAGCAACCGCTCAACTTCATCATCTGCTTTCCCTGGCAGCGCATGGTCTGTATCATGTTCCCACAGTAGGCGTGTTCTGAGACCTGGAATGTGGGAGATATGTCAAAGTCATTGGTAAGGTCAATCACAGAGCTGTTCATTATTGATCCTCTTCGGAACTTGTTAGAGCCCAAACTTTTTTTATTTAGCTTGGGGGGTAAATAAAGTTCGAGAATTTTTTTTTAACTTTGAGTCTATTCTAGGACACTCTTACAATCATCTCAGTTGAAATCTGATTGACAAGAGTAATCGTGACCTCTTTATATTAAAAGTAGATAGTCTATTTGTATACTTTTCCAAACTAATTGCCATTGATCTTGAAAGAAAATGAAGTAAACGAAGGTTATAGCTCCTGTCGGAATGAAACTTTGAGAGAGCCAAACGTAAACCTGGCTAGTTTGAGAGGAGGCAAATCCTTGAGAAGTCGATGTGAGATTGAACTGAATTACATTACAAGGCATTTGAACGGCGTTGAACAAGTCTAGGTGCATGCGAATGGATGGGAGGTGTCGGACCCGAAGTGAGGTGGGTTGTGAAATGAGGTGGGTTGTGAAAGGAGCTAAGGGTTTAGGGCCTAACCAGGGGCAAAAAATATTGGATTTAGGGCTCTAATTTTTGTGGACATGAAGGCATACCAGGTTTTGAGGACCTGGGGATATCCATATGTGAGATTCTTTTAAAAAATGTATCTAAGATTAAGAATCAATCAAGTTTCTGCTGTCTACAGTTGCCTATCGTTTATAAGGTTTTTGTACCCTAAAACTGCCTGAATCTATAAATGTAGAGTGCGTAGGGCACCAAAAAACGCCTTACATCTTTACCTGTGGTGAGTACACGGGTTGAGTATTCCGCCTAATCATTTAAATAAATAGGTATTTTGTTTTGTGAATTTAATGAGCATACTATTTATTATTAGTCAAGGATTACGATCTTGTCAAAAAAACAAAATTAATGAGAAAACTAATATGGATTCTCTAAAATATTAATTGATTCTTTGACATGCCATTGGGAATGAGCTTTAGGCAAAGTTTTTTTATTGAAATATTTGTCATAACTATTTCAGCTCTTGTCTAAATGGAACTATGGAGAGAAACAGGTAGGAAAGTGTATGATGGAAGCTCTGGCGATATATGAAAGATAGACATAATATTAGTGTTTGACACTTTAAAAATAAAAACACTTTGTTTTAATTTTTCCTCCTAAAATCTCTGTATCATAGTACTTTATGGTATCTAAATTCTACTCACCCTTCTTTAAAATGGTGTATGAATATATCTTGTTGAAAAGACCAATTTTGAGATTGGCAATTCAGACACTCATAACTGTATTAGATGCTGATTCCTGTATATGTCTATGTAATATTGGTGAGAGATAATGTTGAATAGTTCAACATAAACATGGTAAATTAGAAACTTTGGCACAAGTTAATCCCTCTTTTGTCATTTAAATGATTTCATTATCAACTTTTAACCGTGAATTTTTTTTTTTTTAAAAAAAGGCGTCAAAGCGAATAACTAAACATTTAAATGGTTTCATTATCACCTTTACAAAATCAACTGCCACTTCTCTAAAAGGCCTAGCCCACATTTTGTCTTTGACGGACAATTTTAGAATTTTGCCTCTCTTTCTATCCAACGTTTTTTTTAACAAGAGAATTTTGTCTTTCTCCTGCAGCCCACCAAACCTAGATTGAGAGAAAGAGAGAGGGTTCAAATTGTGGAAAAGTAGTTCACTGAACCTTTTGCCTTTGCCTTTGCCTATGGAGAGAGAGAATATTGAAATGGGAAAGGTTTTTATACTTCTCCTGCTGTATAGATAGAAGTTATGTACTTTCCCCCCTTACAGCTATCCAATTCAGATCAATCAAGTCATTGACTGTTTGATCTAGATCCGATGTATTTTATTTTTAATTTTAATTCTTCAAATTATATGAATATAAAATTTGATAAGTGCCATCATCTCAATGAGGCACAACTAAAAATAAAAATAAAAATAGTATTTTTAATAAAATAAAATGGTCATACTACCCCTAAAACTTTCATAAGTATTTGGTCATTTTATTTTATCCAGAATATTTGTTTTATAGTTTTTCAAATGTGACTTTAAGAGAGAAATGGAGGCCCGATATTTGGTGTCAAAATATTCTTTGGAAAGAAATAAAAATTAAACAATGTATAGGCGTGACATTGTAATAGGATCCATCTCAACCGTTCATTTAGATGACTAGATAAGGGGAAGTATATAACTTCTTTACATTAGGGGAAATATAAAAAGCTTGCCTTTTGGAAAGTACCTCCAGTGAAAACCAAAAAGAAAAGTAAGTAATGAGAATGTATATTTCCAGTCAAATTTTCTTTTTTTTTGAGGTATTTGAGATAGGCCATAACTCATTTTTTTTTCAATTTTAGGATTTAGTTTTTTTCAAGATATTATTGGGAATGTGATGACCAGAGTAATCAAGCAATGAGAATGTATATAATTTTTTTGTCAAGAAACTGGACCTTTTGGGACTTTTGTCACTCTGCCTTGATTTTAGCATAGGACTCATCTTCTAAATTGTCGGTTTGTATATAGGATGAACCTTGAGCCCTTTCCTGACTAGATTGCCCTTTTTTGTGCAACCCCACCCCTCTATTTTCTCTCACTTTGCATCTGTAGTTTCAGTATCACACAGTAAAAGAGTTTAGGTCTTTTCAAATCTCTCTCTCTCTTTGAATGTTTTTTCTTCTTTTTTCTTTTGAGGAAATCTCTCTCCTTGAATGTTACTCTCTCTCTCTCTCTTCAAACTCTCTTTCTCTCTCTTTGTTTTTTTTTTTTTCACCAATCAAATAATTGCACCCCAAGTGGGTGAGAAATGTTTTACAAAGTGGGAAAAGTTACAAAACATTGTACCACATTGAACTTAAGGAGTGCATCACCCATGTGGTAAGCCCCAATGGAAAAGATGGAAAACCATTCCAATTGTATCACAAACTTTTTCTGAAAAATACGCTTGGTTCCTTTTGTCCACATTCTATACTCATTAAAGCCCTACAGTATTTCTCTCTCTATACTCTGTCTCTTTCTCTATCTAGAGAGTGTACCATATGTCTTCTGGTTAGATTTCCAAGGAAAAGCTACAACCCCAACTCAAACTTGTGCAATAATTTCAAACCAGTTTCTCTCTCCTACAAAATGGTATTGTTTCTCTCTCCTGGTTTCGATGCAGCACGAGGCCTTTCCAAGTGCAGGTGTAGTACGATATAAGTCATCCAAACTGGTAATCTACGAATACATGCGGGTCAGCGTTCGCAGCTACTTCTTTCCCCCCTATTTATGCCATTTTTGTACTTGAAAAACTCGAGACACTCAACCCCACCAAGGTATTTCTCTCTCTCTCTCTCTTATAATAACCCATCTAAGTATTTATCCTCTCTCTCTTATAATAACCCATCTAAGTATTTATCCTCTCTCTCTCTCAACCCCATGACAGTATTTTGAGGCAACGGGTCGGGTAGGGGTGGCAATGGAACCAGATCCGATCAATATCTGTCAGGTATACTCGATACGGATCCAGGTTTTTAACTCGTGGGTAGGATTCAGTTGCAATAAAGGATACCTGTATAATCTTAGGTCTGGGTACAAGTCCTGTTATGCCCGACCCGGTTGAAAGTGGACCCGAATTTTTAGTTTAACAAAATGTCAAACCCAACCTAAAATCGTTTAAATACTTTTCATCTTCAAGGGAATCCCTGTCGGGTCTATTGCCACTCCTAAATAAAGTGGAGACATCCAACCCCACCTAAGTATTTGGTCTGTCTCTCTCTCCAACCCCATCCAGTATTTGTTCTCTCTTACTCGAGAGAGTTGAGGCACCCAACCCCACCTGAGTATTTGCTCTCTCTCTCCCCCCCACTAAGCATTCTCCCTAGAGAGAGAGAGAGAGACCAGCTGTACCAACTGGGTGAAGCTAGCCATCCTCCATGCCATGACTCTCCAGGTTTCAATTATACAGGCCTCTAGAATCAGATTAACATTTTCATCTTATTTGGGTGAAGAAAACAAAAACAGTCCCAACCAAAAGCTATTTGAATCTTTCTCTACCTATGGTGCCACACTCCCTCTTCTTCTCTCTCTAGAGTTTTTCTTACTTTTTTGGGATACTGTTTTTTTATTTTACTTCAGATTTATCATATTCTCCTCTCTAGACTCTTTCGTCAAAGTTCTTTTTTATAATAACTCAATAAAACCCTCTTCTTTTCATCCTAAAAAAAACCAAATTTATTACTGTCACATTAGCTACTACTCTACTATTTTTAGATACAAAAGTGAAAAATAAACAAAAGAAAATAAGATGGAAGACCAAATGAAGGGAAAGGGGGAAAAGTTACTGGGGTTTAGAGAGAGAGAAAAGGAAAAAGAAGAAAAGTGATGGTGTGAATAGTAGAAGAGATGAGTGTTGAACAGTGTGGTCAGGGATAAGACAATGATGGTGGTGGTGTTGACGCAGTATGCGAGTTGAGCTCAGTCCTGAGGGGAGCCGACACACTCTCTTCCCAAGCCCTCATACCGAAGCAAATGCCGGCGACTCAAATTGCCTATGTCCCAAGAACACAATCTAGAGACAGAGAGAGAGATCCAAGGTGATAGTAGAGAGAGAAAGGGGTAGGTGTTTTGATATCCAAGGAGAGAGAATATCGAGACAAGAGAGGCAACTGGCTCGGTATAAGTTGGCCCGGCCCGGTCCGGCCCTTCTTCCCACAAGGCAAGCCGACAACCGTTACGATCGGGCCAGGTCAAAAGCAAATGACGACAAATAAAAGAAAAAGCAAGAAAAAAAAAGAGGGTTTGGCCGGGCCGAACCAGGCCGGCATTAGCTCTAGCCTAGCCTTCAGGCCATAGTTCGTGGCCTAAGCCCTACTTTTTTAGGGCTGGGCTGATTGGCCCATTGCTAACCCTAGGTTGATACGTTGAGAGAGCTGTTTTTTGGTTATAGACTCAAGAGAGAGGGGCATATCCAATGAGTTATAGAGAATGTTGAGAAGGGGTAATATTTATGGGAAAGGGTTCTATGCTTCCCTTCCACCATAGAAGTTTCATTTTCCTTTTTTTATCCAGCAGTTCAATTTTGATCAAGAGAGCCACTCAGTTTGATTTTAGATCTGACGTTTCAAAGTATTTTTTAGTTTATTTTTTATAATAATTCTATGGATATAAAAGTTGATACGTGCCATCTTTTCAATGGGGCACACCTATAAAAATATTAAAAATAATTTTTTGATAAAATATAATGACTAAAATACCCCTTGAAACTTTCAAAAGTATTTTGGTCATTTTATTTAATTGAAAATATTATTATTTTTTTTTATATTTTTTCATAGTGCGAGTTTAATATACGAATGGACGTCTAATTCCTAACTAGTCTATATCTAATTAAGATATCTAGTGGGTCTGAAATAGTATCTAAAATGCCAGATCAAAATTCATGTAGTCAACTCCAATTAGTTTGAAAAAAAAACTTTGATGATACGATAAAAATGCCAAATCTTTTGATGAAAAAAGCTCTGATGATAGTCTAAAAATATTTTTCAATCAAATTATAACGTATAAAGCTTTAAAAAACGATACTAAACAGATCTATAAATACTTGAAAACCTTAAAAATAGATGGTCTAAATAATTCCTTCCATGATATACTATTTTCATGATTTGAGATCCTTGTATTATTATTTGATATCTTTGCATCTGAGAGGTAAAATGATCTGTTCATGGGGTTTTTCAGCATCAGATCAACCCTTTTTCTGTGTACTTTTTATGTGCACATTACTTCTACCGTATGAGGTTCACCCTGTGTAAAAACTTTTTCCCTTACTCATGCAAGTAGAGACATATGTCAGAGAATCCAGAGAGAAATTTGCGTTGGAATGGACACATGAGAGAGAGAATATTGATCTATATTCTATAATTTTTTTCAATTTCATAAGAGTCAAATCAACTTTGAGAGAATATGGAAAAAGGCTAAGAACCCACAAGTGGGAATGTAAATCTGTTTGAGCTTTGAGAGAGAAGTCACAGGGAATTCAAGAACCAGGTTTGAGCACGGCAAATTAATTGTCAAACCAGGAAATATTTAAGGAAAAGTGAAATAACAAGCTGAGGTAATGGATACCTAGAGAAAGAATATAAAGCCTAAACATCAGGGGATTATACCTAGAGAGAGAATATAAACCCTAATTATTTGTGTGTAGTCTAGAGAGAGAAAGACCAGATATGTGATTTAATAGGTCATCCAACAAAAGGGAAATTAAAAAATACATGTACATATGTCATGGGAGACAGCCTCTACCTCCCAATCTGACTTTGTCTTTGGTTTCATCCCATACTTTATTCACCCCATGTCTGATAAGTCTCTCTCTCTCTCACTCCCTCTCTATCTCTTTCTCTCTCTCTCTCTCTCTCTCTACCCAACCCCACAAGTTTTTATTCATTAATTCCTTTCTCTTTTCCCTCTGGTTTATATTCTCTCTATCTCTCTCTCTTATAATAATCCCCAACCCAAATCTCCCCACTTTCTCACTCCATTTCTCCATCATGAATGATCCATACTCAAATCACTTCACAGGAGGATGGTTCAACCCCATTTTGCACCCCAATTCTACTTACACTGCCATTCCTGCAACTCCTTCTTCCTCCTCCTCTTCTTCTTCTTCTCCCTTCTGCAACTTTCTCCCTTTAGATTACACACAACCTAGCTCACCTCCTTTGAGAGAAGCCCTCCCCCTATTGAGCTTGAGCCCTAGAAGGACAGATGAGCACGAAAATTACAAGGAGAAGGAGGAGCTCATGTGTGAAGATGATGAAGGGGAAGTCACAGTGGCCCTTCGCATAGGGCTTCCGAGCTATAGTGGGGTGAGCCATCAAGGTTCTTCTGGTGAGATGATGGAGGTTGATGAGAGAGAGAAGGCATACCCTACGGCCACTCTCAACAAAGGGCAGTATTGGATCCCTACTCCTGCTCAGATCCTTATTGGACCTACGCAGTTCTCTTGCCCAGTTTGTTGCAAGACCTTCAACCGCTACAACAACATGCAGGTGCCCCTCTCTCTCTTTCTCTCTCTCTCTGTGTGCACAGACAAATTCTGGTGCTGGTTCGTGTGATTTTGGATGAAGTGTTTTTGGGGCTCGAGCTAGATGTTGAAGGTTCATTGCATGACTCTCTCTCTCTCTCTCTAAATTTTGAGGTCCGAGAAGAGTGGTTTCCATCTCTCCTCTCTCTCTAAATTTTGATGGACGAGAAGAGAGGTTTCCAGCGCTCCCCTCTTTCTCTAAATTTTGATGTCTGAGAAGAGAGATTTCCATCACTCTCTCTCTCTCTCTATCAGAGCTGGGTGATATTAGGCTAGAACATAATTCATCGACTTCTGTAAAATCTAGGAGATAAATTCTCTATCTATCTCTCTAACCTGTGTGACCTGCACTTTCTATAAACTCTCTCTAACCTCTGTGACCTGCACTTTCTCTCTCTCTTTATCAGTGTTTCGTATGTTGGTCTATGTGATTTTCGACTTTTCTGGTCTTCCTCTCTCTTGAGTATCCCTGAATGATCCGCCGTCCTGTTTCTCTCTCTAGATGTTGGTTTTCGCTCTCTAGAGTTTGGTCGTCCTCTTCACCTCACCACTTTTCTCCCCTTTTGCATGGGGTATGAAGAAGGTCAGGATGGGAAAGTAAGGGGGTGGGGTGTTGGGGACTGGGTACGTACCTTTTTGGCTTGTGATTGAACATCACATAACATCCTCTTTCTCTCTCTTCTCCACTCTCTTTCTCTCTCTAACTTCCTTCTGCCCTTTGGTGTACTTGGGAGTGTGTGTCTTTGACACATTGGCAGACCCGTCAAATCTGACTGAAACCTGCTCAGTTATTGTTTGTTCAAGGATTTGATTTGATTCAATTCTCACTTCTTGCACTTGAGTTTTCTTTCAGCTCCACTGCACTTGTGCTCTCTTTTCTTTCTCTCTCTCTCTCTAAAACCTGCAGATTCCATTCGATCCAACTTTCACTGAAATGTCCATTAAACTTCTTTCCCTTTGCTTGCAACTGAATGAAAGAACCCCCCACTACTCATCATTACCAAGAGGACATGGCTGGAGCCTTTTCTCTCTCTAAAATACTTACTGCTCAAATGAAGAAGACATGGCTACAGCTTTGTCTGCTACTCCTCGCTCTCCCATCACCTCTCTTTCTCTCTCTTCCCATCCCTATTTCTCTCTCTTCCTCACCCCTCTCTCTCTCTCTCTCTCTCTCCCTACCACTGCTCAAATCAACAAGACATGTCTATCTCTCCCTCTCTGCCCCTCCATATTCTCTCCTCTCCCTCTCTTTCTCTCTGATTGAAATAGAAGAATCCTTAGTTTTTATCAGAAAAAGAAACCAAAGAACCCAGTTCTCCATTAGTTGACCTCCAACTGATTGTAATGGTGGAAAACCACTACGTAATATTTAACCAAGCTCAGATATTGTGTTGAAGTCCTCTGGTCATTAGCTCTTTGCTTTCCTAAGTCTCTTGCACTTAAATTATCTGAACCAATGACATCTGTCGAGATGGAAAATTCAGTAAATGGCAGTACAATCCTCCAATGGCTTTGCTACTGACTGTTTCAGAATCTTCAAGGAAGAACACATCTGGGAATCTTGCCATCAAGACCTTGAAATTATGAACAAGTTTTGAAACTTATAACCCCAACATTGAATGTAACATTTGTTAGTACCTGGAGTGAGATTATGTAAACAATTCTCAGTTGAACTCTCTCTCTCTCTCTCCATTTCATGTAAGTTTCCATTTGGGATTTTGATCTATTATATAAAGAGTCATGCTACTATTTCTATCTCTGTCAGATAAGAGAACCCATGTTCAACTCTCACTTTGCAGATTCTTTTCCATTTCAAAATTTGATAAATTCTTACACAATTCACCCCCCCCCCCTGTCTCTCTCTTTTGTTAGCTAGGTATCAATGTATATATCTGTAAACAATAGATAACTTTCCATGTGCATAAACATTATTGTACTCATAAATTTGAAAATTTCATATTCTTCTCTTTGAGTTTCTTACATGAATTTCTGTACAGATGCACATGTGGGGTCATGGATCACAATACAGGAAAGGGCCTGAATCCCTAAGGGGAACCCAACCAACTGCAATGCTCAGGCTCCCATGTTATTGCTGTGCACCCGGCTGTCGTAACAACATCGATCACCCTCGAGCGAAGCCATTAAAGGATTTTCGAACCCTTCAAACCCATTATAAGAGGAAGCATGGAATCAAGCCTTTCATGTGCAGAAAATGCAGCAAAGCCTTTGCAGTAAGGGGAGATTGGCGAACACATGAGAAGAATTGTGGGAAGCTTTGGTTTTGCATTTGTGGGTCTGATTTCAAGCACAAAAGGTCCTTGAAGGATCACATTAAGGCCTTTGGCCATGGCCATGCAGCCTATGGTGTCGACTCTTTCGAAGACGATGATGATCCCGCCTCCGAGATCGAGCAGGATGATGAGTCCCAGTGAATGAGAGTGAGTCTGAGAGAGAGAGTAGATTGTGTAGTGGAAGGAACTGACTGATCTTGGGTTAATTTATTATCTATACTTGCTAGTGAAGTAGATTTGAGAACTGAATTCTAATTTTTTTGTTTTTTTTTCTTGGGGGGGTTCTTGAGATATAGTTCTAATTTATGTAAATCAATTTGCTTTGTTCACTGTGGGTACTTTTGAATTCCTTTTATCAGCTGCTTTTTTTGAAATTCTACCTGTTGATTTTGCTCTCAAATCTCACACTTATTCTATGTTTTCTTTTATTTTGGTCAAGTTCAGAATCCTTGAATGTAGGAAATTAAGCCATAACTTTATAAAAAGATATCACATTCAGTGGGATTGCCTTCTGATATTAGTACACCTATAGAGATAAAAACTCTCTTTCTCTCTCTAACCCTCTCTTTCTTTCTCTATTTTTATATCTCTGTCCTTTCTATATTTCTATATGAAGTTTCAACGAAGAGGTGTGCTTTAATCCAAAACATATCTTTCGCCCATCCAAAAGAAAGTGCTTTAATCCAAATAGGCACTTTATTGCTCCCCAAGTTTTCTTTATTTTCACTTTGAAGTGTCGACTTTCTCTCTCTAAATCAAATTTAGATCGAACCACTTTGCTTTACTCCATGTATTTTTGTGCCATTTATTTAAATTTAGACCATTTTTCTTATTCCCCACTACAAACTAACCAGTCATTAAATTTCTCTGACAATTATATTACTAATTCAATGCCTCCATTTATATTAAATTTTCCTGATAATTTGTTTCTTCATAGACATCAACATTTAAGCATTTCATCTTACAAATCCACAAGCAAAACCTGACTTATATATATTCAAAATACTCGCCCCAAAAAAATTTGGTGCGAATTTCACGAAACTAAATTCATATTTTTGCGGGTCCGAAGAAATCAACGGCTTCCACGACTTCATCTATCTCGAGTCTTACTATCCGAATAGCTCATATAGTCAGTATTCATTTGGTCCGGTCCACTGACTTTCTTCATGAATTCCTTTGACTTTTATTTTTTTATTATATTTGGTTAGTTTTAATGCATATTTTCAATTGAAATCAAGCATAATTGAACTAGAATTCACCATAGTTAGGGAGGATAAGGGATGAGAAAGGCCAATTCCATTAAAACTGAAGAGAGTATAAGGCCCCTTACGGGTGCCGAAATTTATAGAAATTTCGGCAAAATTTCGAGACCCATTGAAAATTTTCAGTCTCTGATTGGATCAGCTTTTAAACTGTCCAGGATGCCTTTCTCTTTGGGTAGTGGGCAGTTTTGTTGATGGAACATATGCCTCTCTCTCTCTCTCTCTCTCTCTCTATATATCTAAAAATTGAGGCCAAAACCAACGGCCCTGAGATTTCCAATCAATGATTAGTTGGGACAAGCACAATAATTTAGGATCTCAAATCATTCAAAACCTGTCAATTCACCTGTAAAAACTTACTGCTTCACTGTGTAGTTGTTGTGCCTCAAGTGTAGATTGAGAGCCATCAACTCATAGCAACAGTTTTCTTAGGATTTCATGTAAACTCTAGAATTCTTGACTCATGGTCAATCCAATACCACACTACCAGAAACACCCCTTTCCTCAACTGTGTTGCTGTTTCCAAATTTTCCTCTTTCGAAAGAAAGAAAACTCTCTCTCTCTCTCTCTAGAATTTCATCAAATGAGAGGAGGAAAACCTCTCTCTCTCTCTCTCTCGTCTTCTCGTA